CGTGTCTCACCCGCTCCCACGTTTTTTTTTTTTTTTTTTTTTTTTTTTTTTTTTTTTTTTTTTTTTTTTTTTTTTTTTTTTTTTTTTTTTTTTTTTTTTTTTTGAAATCGTGTCGCTTCCATTTTGAACAAATCGCGTGCCCACGTTGAGGCGCGTGGATCAGCGACGGGCCCGTTTCTGCAGAGAATCTGTGTTCTCCGCCGCCAAGCCAGGAGGCATTGGCTTCGTGTTTCGCGCGTGTTTCCCTCCAATCCGCTTATCTGGCGCCGACGCGCCAGGCCCGCGGATCCGTAATCCATGTTCGAGTGCGCCCGATCGTGGGCGAAATGCCCCGCCCCTTTCCCTGTGAGAAAGTTGCGGCGACGTTCGTCTTCGGTGAGTTCGCCAATCACATGGAGTTCAGCGATGCCGAGCTCAATCACGTTCGGGTAGCACGAGGAACAGGCCATGCAAGACTTCAGTCATGCATTGGTGGCCCAGTTCGGGCAGGCGGTCTTGCTTGGCCTTTGTAGCTGACAGGGGGCTCGTCGCAGGCAAACATAGAAGGCGACAGGGGCCCAGAGATGCCAGGCGCCGCCGATGCAGTGCTGACGTCAAGTGTCTGTCACGCGGCTCTCGTGGCCGCTCTGGTCGCCCCCGTGACATCGAGGTGAATGGAACGTGGATCCGATCGCACTGTAAAGGCCAGGTTCAACCTCGTCAGAGGATTCCGTGGTAGCGGCTAGCAGCGTTGGCCGCGAGGGCTGCGCCGCGCGCGCCGTCTGCTGCCGCGCCGGCGAGATCAGCGCCGACGCGAATTTCCGTGCGCACGGCATCTGTCGCCCTGGAGCGCGAGGCCCAAATTGCCCGGTGATCCCTTTTACTATCGCCTGAGGCGCGCGGCCGCCCGCGACAGTCGAAAACAAAAGCGTGCCCCGACAGAGTGAAGTCCCGCGCTGGACGGGCCGCCGTCGCGCCGCGCCATGGGCGCATTGGGTTCGCGAGCCTGACAGAACTCCCTCGCTGAGGTTCGTGGGGTCCTGGGTGCGCTGCGGAGGAGGCGTCTTCCGTTTGGTCCCCGGATGGCGAGGAGGGCCTAGTGGTGGACCAGAGGAGGAGGAGGAGGAGGGGCCCCATAACAAGACGGATGATCCAGAGCGACTGGCGCTAGGGGGCCGTCTCTTGGGTGGCCGTGGGGTGAGCGCAGCTTCCGGGGGCATCCTCTGCCGGCGTCAGTTCGAGGAGCCCCGGCCCAGCGATGCTGGCGCGGCTTCCGCGATCGCCGCGCAGGGCGCCGCGGGGCCAGAGGGTCGCTGCGACCCCAGTGCGGAAGAGGTGGCCGTGACTGGCCTTTGCCGCCCGAGGCGCGAGCGGGCGGGGCCGTGCCGGAAGGGTCGGGGCCCGCCCCTCGCGGCCTCGTAATCGGACCAGGAAGTCTGCCGCCGTGACAGCGGGCTGTGGTCGCCGCTCGCGGCGCAAGGGCGGCGGAGTGACATCGGTCGTCGGTCCTAAGCATGCCCTTGCCCAGGGCCGGCCTGGCTGAAACGGGCCGTCCGCTGGATTGGGCGTTTGCCACTGCGCCCGATCAGCCTGCCGCGTGCGCGCTGCTTCGGCATCTGCGCGTCTGGGGCGACGGCGCGCTGAACGGCTGGTTGTTTGATTGCAGCGGCGTGCCCGTTTGCGTCAGGGGCGTCTCGGGGCATGGGGGGTGTCCGCGGGGCTTAGAACAGCATTGGAGTGGTGGTGCCTGTCCCATTTGGGGACAGGCACCACCGCTCCGCTGCCTTTGGGCCTGCCCGCAGGAGCGTCGTTGCAATCTCGCGCCCCCCCAGGGGCCGCTGCGGCCGCGTTCGGCAGCGCTCTCGGGGGCCGCGCGTGCGCCCGAGAGCGATTTCGGCCAAACGCCACCTCGACTATAGGTGCGGGTGCGTGTCCGGGGTGCCATCGACGCGCGTCGGCGACTGCTCCCCGACGCGCGCCCGGACCTAGCCGGGGCAGCGCCGGGCGGGTTTTCCAGGGGGCAGCCCCTGGCGACCGCGGGGCGAGCGCGGGGTTGCAGCGGCGCCCGCCAAGGACACCCAGGGCGCATTTTGCGCGTCGAGTCGCAAGCGCTTGATTGTGCGCCTTCGTGGGCGCACCTCCGAACGAGCTACTCTAACCTGAGAGCGACCAATGCGTGGTCGGCCACTCTGCCGATTGGAACGCGCGCGCCTTCGGTGCCAGCGGATGCCCCGAGAAGACAGCATCCTGTAATGTTCCATGGGCCGTCGCATCTGCACTTGTGCAACCGCCGTCGGCTGTGGCGCGTCGCCCCCTCCGCCCCGTGCCACCCCGCCTGGGCAAGGGCGCGGGTATCTTTCGCGCTCGACAATCGTCGCCGGCAGGGCCGCGCGCTGCGACGCCCCAGTGACGTGGCTGGCGGGGGCGGCGGGCGTTTCGCCATCGTCGGCGGTGATGGGTTGGTCGCGGAGGGGGCGGGGAAGCCGGCGCAGGATCCTTCGAGGTATCGGCGGCGCGCCCGGTCGAGCGATCCAGCAGTGAAGGGGGGCCGGCGGGCGAGGCGGTCGTCGCGCGGCCGCGGCCCGCGTGGGCCCCGCCGTGCAGGGCGGCCCCGCCGTGCAGGGCGGTCGTCGCGCGCCGCGGCCCCTGTCGACTGCGGGCCCGCGGCGAGGCGGCCAACTGTTGTCGATGGGTCGACGAGAGCAGGCCCGCGGGCGCCTCGTTGGCGGGCGCGGTCGCGGCGGCGGCCGCGGGGGCAGGCGGCTGCGGCTGGAAGGTCTCCCGCGCGCGTCCAGGGTCTTCTCGGCGCGGACGCGTCGACTGCGAGGGCGAGATCTTGGGGGCCCCTCTCCCTGCAGCTACTGCAGAGAGGCATCGGCGACGTCGGCGGCTCGCTCTGCCCGCCTCCTGCGAGCCCGCAGAAGCCGAGCTTTTGCAGCAGGGCGAACGCGAGGTCGCCTGGCGCATGGGTGTCCTCGTGGCGCTCGCCATGACGGCGTTGGGGAGGTCTCGCGCGATTGGCGGGCGGCCCCTTGCCAGGGCGGCGTCAGGGAGGTCTCGCGCGACTGGCGCGACCCCCAGTGCTGTGCCCGAAGGGGGGGGGCCATCCAGCTCGCTGGAAGCCGAGCAGGGGGCGGGGCAGGCAGGGCGCAGGCAGCCCCTCGAGGGAAGAAGCAAGATGGCCATGACCAAGATTGACGAACGAACCACACGGACCCATACCCATAGCAGGGTCGGAGGGGGGAGGACCGGCTAGGCTTCTCGGCCTCAAGCCGGCTCGCGGCTCGCCGCTGCCTGCTCGGGCGCCGACGCGCTGGCGCGAGGGCGGGGCGGTCGCCCGCGCTGCGATCTCGAGGGGCGGGTCGAGGCCCGGCCCCATCGGGGGCCTCGCGCGCCTCTGTCGCGGCCTGCGCCGGGACTTCGAGCCAGAGAAGGGCCTCGAGCATCGCCTCCCTCGGTTGCTGATCGGTCCGCACTTCGGCGGCATCCAGGATGTAATTGCGCCCGGTATCTCAGGGGCCGCCGATCGCTCCAGGCGCGCCCCTTAGGTCGAGGGCCGATCCGCGCGCTGCCTCGACCGCGCCGCCGAAGCGGCAATTGACTGCGCTCGGAGCCGCAGGGCGGTGGGCTCGGTCACCTCGGGCGCGTCGACCGTCGCCGCGAGCCTGGGCGCCCGAAGAGGAAAGGGGCGCCGCTGGGGGCCCGGTCAGAGCGGGGGGGGCGGCGCGCCGCGGCGCTTCCTTCGCGCCCGCAGGTTCGTGCACGGAGCCGGGGGGGGCGAAGCGCAGCCAGGGCGGCTGCTCTGGCGCCCCGCCCGTGGGCGGCCGCTCGGGCAAGGTCCTCGTGCAGCGGCCCCGCCGGCGGTCGGGGCCCGGGGATGGGCGGTCGCCGCCCAGTCTCTGGTGTCGGGGGTTCGCTGAGGGGGGCGCCCCAGGGTGGGGTTGGGGGGCGCGCCCAGCTTGATGCTGCCATTTCCTTTTTTCACGGCCCGTTTTGAACGATTTGCTTGCCACTTCGCCTCTGCCCCTATCCCGTTTTTGCGCCCCCCCCCGATGTCGCAGCGAAGGCGTGGGAGATGCGAGCCGATAGTCCTCTGACCCCGCGCGGGCGGCGAAAGCCGTCGAGCGCAGATTGGCCGCCGCCTAGTGGAGTCCCGGGCGCGCGTCGCCTCTGACGGCGGCGTCGACGTCGGCCCGGCCAGGCGTGCCCGGTCGAGGCCTTGCCCGAGATCGGGTTGCCGACGGCCGAGGGCAGATGGGGGGGCGTCGTTGGTGTCGCCTCGGCCGGGGCCGATGCCTGCCGCCTGCGATGTCGGCCGGGCTTCGTCGGGCCCCCGCGGCTGCGTGGGCGACGATGGCGACTTGTTCGGGGCCCCGATCGGAGCGGCTGGTGCGACGCCGCGCAGCGGGGCTCCGGCGCTCGCGGGGCTGCTGGCGGGGGGAAGGGGGGGGGGGCGCTTTCCGACGAGCCGGGGGGTCATTGCAGACGTCGCGCAGGAAGGGCTTCCGCCGCGTCGCGAATGCCCGCGCGGCCGCCATGGCGGGGGCCGCGTGGGCCAGACATGGGGCCGCCTTCGCCGCGCCTGGGCCCGGGGGGGCGCGATGCCCCAGATGCGAGGTGGAGGAAGAGAACGATCCCGGTGGGTCTTGGAAATTCAGTTGCGCCCGCCGAGTCGCTGCGACTTTTGGGGGCCTCGTCGAGCAGGCTGTCAGCGACGCAGAACGCTTGCCGTGCCCGTGGCTGCGGGGTATCCTTTCTCTTTTCTTTGCAGTGGTCAGGTGCGAGCGTGGGCTGGTCACTGCGCGCGCTCGCGCGCGCTCTGCTGGCCAGCTCGCGTGGCAAGACTCGGCGGGCCGCCGGACTTTCAATCGTGGCGAGACCAAGGCCTTGCAAGCAGTGCCCGAAGTTCTGGCTCGCGTCGGCGCTGGCCTCGCGTGCGTCGCGGCTTCCGCGCGCGCCCTGCCTGGCCGCGCCGATTTTCGGGGTGGGTCGCCCGCCGAGACGTCCGTGGGCCCGTGAAGGTCGTGCTGTGTTTTGCCAGTCATGCGTGGGCGCCAGACGACGAGTGTCGATGCTGCGCTGAGATGGGCCCTCCGAAACAGTACCTGGCCAGCGACGTTGTAGACGCGCTGCGGGTGTTGTGGGCAGCAGGGGGGCAGGTCGATGCGGGTGCGGTCTCCTTTGCCGGCCTGGCCAGGGCCGTCGGGCGGGCGGCCGGGAGGCGCTTGGCCTCCGCCGCCAATCTGCCGGCTTCGGAGGCCGGGCCGCGCGGCGTCAGGCTGGCCCGTGTGGGGGCCGCGCTATGCAGAGAGTGGCTGAGTATATCCGAGTATCGGCCCATCGGCAGGTCGTTCCGCCGCGAGGCGCGAGGATGCCGTGCGAGCGGGTGGGGGCTGGAGGAGCTCCGTGTCCGTGCCCTGCCGCGTGGGCGGCCTCGCTCGCGTGCAGGGCGTCTCCGTGCACGTCGCGCGCCTGCCGAATTATTTGAAAGGGCGCAATTTCCGCGCCCGAGGCGATGCGGGCAAGGACTACCTGCAGGCCTCGCGGATGGGATCTCGGGCGGGCATGGGCGCCGCAGCAACTGAGCGCTCAGGGAGCTGCGCGCGGGGGTGCTACGCTGCCCGAGTAGGGGGTCGCGGCAGGGCTGCCTACGATCCGATTCGATGCGATTCGATTCGCCAGCTTGGGCCGCGACTCGGATTCGATGCGATTCGGTCGATTCGCGGGCGCCGGCGAGCCAGGCGCAGCGATCCGATCTCGATCCGCTTCGTTGGCGATCTGCTCCGTTTCCGAACCGAGTCTACTTCGACACTCGGTTCGTCCTGGGCCTGCCGCGTGAACTTTTGCGGCTTTGCCGACCTCGCGCGCGTTTCCGCCGTGTCTGCGGCGCCGCATTTGAACTGGGCCTCCGCCTCGGGGTCTCCCCCTGGCGGAGGCGCGTCGGTCAGCGCGGGGGCCTCGAGGGTGCCCCCAGTTTCTCGCGCCATTTTGGAGCCCCTGGGGCCCCCTGGGTCTCGTGATGGGGTACTCTGGAGGCCGTGGGTACCTCCGTGGAAATCTTGGGGGCACCCCGGGCCAGGGGCACTTCTAACCGCGCCCGCCCCCTTTGCCCCCGTCCGTGTCCCCGTCGTCTTCTCCTCCCCGCCCCTTCCGCCCCTTCGGTTTCATTCGAAGGGAGCAGGAACAACGCTCGCAGAAACTCCCCAGGAGTCCGCGCGGACTTCGTTCGTGGATCAGCGTTGGGCCCCCTTGGCGGCGCCTGCAGCGCCGACCCAAGAACCCCGCGCGGACCTCTCAGCTTGACTGTTTTCTGCTTCTCTAC